ACACTTTTGTAATTAAAATTTTTCTATACTGTTACCAGTTTCTTTCTATTGTGATTTTTTAAAGATTTTAAATGAATCTTTTTGATAACGAGAATTCAATTTCAGCGTGCATCTTTCTGGCAGCGGAACTAATCAGCAGATTTTGGGGTGAATCCATTGCTCTCTGCTTTCTTAACATATTTCTTGTATGCGAAATTCGCAAATCGTCGCGTATTTGGCGCTCGATCACGACTATTGTCACATATTTGGCGCCAATGGTAAAATACCGTCACATATTTGGCGCCTAACATCGGTTACCATCATATATTTGGCGCCGAATGCATCACGTCGACACGTTAATATGATCAGTCAGTATTATGTGATTTTTGGACAGACACGAGTCTGAGCATATATGTTAAAAAGTGAAGACTTCAATGTTTTAAGGAACGATCGTGTAACTGCATGTTCCTCAACTATCTGAAAATAGTTTATTGACTAACATTTCGATTCACTTGCCGATCGATTTCAAGCGAGCCTCGCTGCGCTGCGTGCGTTATGGTATAAATTCGTACAGATATTTTTAGAAGTATGCCGCCATAAACATAAATACTCCAGAGGCAACACCGTACAAATTCTGCCAAGATTTTCAATAAGAGAAAAACAATTGATGGACAGAATTAAAATATTAATTTTATTCAATACAAATAAATTATATGAATTAAATGTCTTTTTATAATTTTATTTCTTATCAAATCACCGTTTTTGGTGTAAATAGCAGAAAATCATATGAGATTCAATTTTTTTCTTAAACGAGATATGCAAAGTCGAGGAAACCGATCGGTGCACCGGTACTTCCTTCCGAGCGGGGTAGATGTTCTTTTATTTATAAAAAATGTGTTTCGAAATAGTTGTTCGCGGAGCATTGGCTGCGAGGTATTGAAACAAGTGGGTCGTCACTGGTTGGCGCTCATTCCCTTTCGACGAGACGTAATGCAACACCAGTGTTCCTCTTGTCTCGCAGCCAAATTGTTTTCCGTTTAGCGCTCACTGAGAAGTTCGACTGCACGATTATGAGCATGCATTCCTCCCGGCGCTGCATTTCTCGATGACCTTGCGTGAAACAATAGAAAATTTCTTCTGCACTTGCGCCGCGTCTGGTAACGAGTTTCCTTCTTACGAGGAGATATCAATTTTACATAATTTGCATACTCTTTTCAAATATTATTTAGTCGAATGTATTATTCGTCAAGAAGAATGGAATTAAATGACACATTATTTTATTT